GTCTTCAACTCTCTCTTTGGGTGAGCAAACACGTACTACTTCTTTTATCAATACCTTTACATCTAAAATCTGTACGTTTCAAATTTTACTTGAGGTTTCGTTTGCTCAACCCGATTATATAATCAATTTTATATATTTTATTTTTATCAATTATATTATCGTCCATTATGCTGATTATGGAGTCAAAATAAACTTATACTTTGCGTCCAACCAATGACATTAAACAACATGATAGGCAACTCTGACGTCACTCCATAAGACTACATGCGAAAGATTGTATTTCATGATACGCTCCAATGCACATATTTCTCGTCGCGTTTCGCGACCGTTTCCCGCTCGCTTTTGCTATTCGGCGTCTTTTTCACGTGTAGTACCTGCCTTTTCGCGCCTGTGACGAAAGAAAATAATTTCTATATCTAAGAAGTTTTGCTCACTTGGAAAGCTGGAATGGCAGACAAGTTGTAAAGAGCAATTCTGGATATCATAGACGTTTTTTTATCAGAGAAGATTACAAACGCGATAGCAGAAAGATTTGTGTGGAACATTTTGCAGATAATGACAAAGTTCAAAGTTAGTAATTTTGATGTTTGCGCTTAAACATTGAAATTTCATTTAAAGAGAGTGTCATACAACATGAAAAACTGTTTTTACTTCTCTTAACGGTGCTGTGATACAATTCCATAACACAAAGTTTGCACCTATCGAACTTGTTTTTGTAGGTGAATTTATTAGACATATTACATATTCAGTTAATCGTAGGTAACATTGCTGGTACACAATGCATCGTAGCTAGGTTTGTTTAAATTTAGGAATTTAGCTTATAGCCCATTAATTAATATTATCTTCTATGCAGGAGGTTGCAGGGTATAATTCAACTTGCAGCCTTACCGATCACCTGACGATGCTCATTTAGTTTGGCTCAAGCAAGTCTTCTTGAAATGCTTGTGTGGATGGGAACTACCTATATGTTTTGCCTTCCTCCGATTTTAGACAAATTTATTCTGAGGGATTTCGCATATAATTCTCATTGATTGTTGGCTGTTTATAATTCCTATTAATTGTGAATTCTGATTATAACAAAGTGTTAAAAAAAATTTACCTAATTTACTGGCACCTTTTTCTTGTCAATACTCCAAGCTGAGGTAATAAACAAGACAATACATTTATGTCATCTGGAAGCAAAATATGCACACTGATTAATAGTTTGACACATTGAGATAATACATCATGACAGAAAATACAAGATAAAGATATGTATGACCATCACATGGTAATTAAAATTAAAAAAAAATTAAAAGGGACTGTGGAGTATGAAAAGTTAAAGACAAAGAAAAGAACAAATGTTCATAGCTCAAGAACTCGCAATTTTGCTTCCATTGCTTTGTGAAAGCCAATATATTTCAAGTGGCTGAATTGGTTTACCTTATGATAGCAACGATTCTGTATTTAATATAGCGAGATTTGTTTCAATCGATGTTTGAATCGTCTAGAATAGATCAGTGGTGTCAAACTCATGGGTTTTCGAGAGCCGCATTGCATTTTGGAAATTGTAAAAAGGGCCGCAAACAACTTTTGATAATGTATACTTGAAAGATATTTTAAGATAGTTTTAGTTTGTGACATATATTGTGATGCAACTAAACAATTGGATTAAGTTTTATTATTTTCTTCGATTTCAAATGCAATTACATATTAATATTTGCATTCCACTATTATTGCAACATTTGCAAGTTACTGTATTTATTATAAAAAATCATCAAATTCTATGTACAACCATCAAAATCATTTTTTAACAAGCTTTGGATAAGTAAAGAATAATACATACACTAAAAATGACTCAATCTAAATATATGAACCTAAAATTAACAAAAATACTACAGTATAAACTCAATGTTTTTTCAATTACATTTGTCCTGACGTTTGGCATCTTTTTTGTGTCACCAGCATACTAAGGCCAGGCTGAAATGATTTTATAGTACCAACTCTAACTAACGAGGTCACATGATCATGGGTTAATCTGGATCTTTGCGAATGTTTAATTCCAGGAATGTAAAAAAGTTACTTTTATCATTTCATGTATAGATCAGTAAAAAAACAAATGACAGATTATTTCGACAAGACATTTCGCACACATTGCGTGGCATAGGATTGCTTGAATTATTTTTGATATTGATTTTTAGTAACTAAGTCGTTGTATAAATATATTAATATACAAACACATGGAAATTTTCTGTTCAAAGTTGGTCTTCGAATTTGTCATATTGACTGCTGAGCTTATTGTGTTTTTTCATTGTCTTGATGGAAATATAACAAATTAATCAATGTGCTTCAGAATTTGTGAAATGCAGAAATATTGCAACTCCTATTTTCTTCTGAAAATGCACCTTCTTCATGTACTTTGCGTTTTAATTTTAATCACTTAAGTGTTTTATTCAAGTATTCTTTGGCTAGCTTGATGTGTATTCTTAATTTGGTCGAAAATGTGGACAAAAAAATAATATTCCAAAACTACTTTCAGTAATTGTTTTCTGTGTAAAATCCAATTTCACTTTAGAAGTTTGAAAAATCTATTAACATTTAGATAAAAAAAAAACTTTCAAAATACTATACATTATTGTTAAGCGTTCGAGAGCCGCACTGGAAGTCTCTGGGAGCGCGAGTTTGACATCCCTGGTCTAGATGGAAGTTGTTCAAAATATATAGCAGTATTTTATCATGAATGATGATTATACCCCTTCCGGAATTTCTTCTATAGTACTACCAAAAGTTGATGAACCAAATATAACACAGGTGTAGTGAGTACCCGTAATCCTCATTTTCCAAAGCTGTTTTAAGTATGTCTGGCGTGTTTTGTGCCTTTTTACAAATAAGACCGCTTATGCAATCTTACGCTTTGGAATTTTTAGTTATTTTCCTCAAGCCCTGCAGGATGTGGGCCATACACAACTCTACCGGAGGGTCAAATGTCTTTGCATGCCTCCATAGGTTGTTTTTCTATTGCAAACATTTATGGAGTACTCTAATTATATTTCTTGGAATCACACTGTCACTGATATGTCGCCAGACTTCTGATATCTCCTTCTGCTATAGTTGTCCTGTGAATAAATAATAGGAAATTGAGATTAGACGAATAGTTGAAATTTTGCTTTATGTCGGCTAATTTTGATTGATATTTACTATTTTTGCTATTGCCTCTTGTGCTGCAGAGTCTCACAATGCTTAGACAGGTTTGTCCACAACTTTCACATCTGAAGAAGAGAGAGAGATTTGTTAATTTTCGTTAAGAATAAATAAAGCAGTCTATATGATTTAGAATGGAAAAGCTAATAAATCCAATATCTCGTGTTTTATGTAAAAAATGTTTTACTGAATTTGGTATATAAACCAACTAATAAAAGGGTTTAGTCAGAAAATTACAAGCATTCGTGACTATACAATATAGACCGGTATAAGTGAAATGTTAGGTGAACTTGTTAACACTTTGATTCCATACGCAAATAAAAGTGAATGCGCAATAGTATGTTACAATGAGCAGCAATCGGCAATCACTGATTAAAAAAATCTAAATGGAGGTGCATGAACTATTTGAAACCATAAGGGGTAAGTAAATATGCAATTTCGGCAAATGGGCAACTACGTACCGTACTGAATTAATAACTTCGTAGTATTTGACAAAGGCTGGCTTTCCCACATGTACTTAACAGTGCGATGCCCGGGTGTGATATACAACAATAGTATTTACCTTACCCCTTTTCCGATTTCTTTTTACCTCAACTTCCCAAAATATCATTAAAATCGACAACAACTGTCACAGCAGGCACGAACATTATTCGTGCTATGCCTTGGAAGCAGCACACATCCGCTCGTTTTCGTCTCGTCAAGTATGTGCATTGGAGCGTGCTATCGAATACGATCTTCGTCCAAAAATGCCGGAGTTGCGCATCATGTTGTTTAATGTCATTGGTCCAACAAACAAACTGCCCGGCAGATGTGGCAGACGCGTCGTGCTAAGCGTTTGGAATACGTTCCCCATTGGCCCATCTTGCACTGGGTGTGTGTAATGAATTTCAAAGTTGAGTGGAGAAATTGACAATTGTCTCGGGCAATCCGTCGTCTTATTTCGTCTTTATTTCGTCAAGGAAGCGAAAAATATTCTGTTCTTGTAACCTTAGGTACACAGGATGTTGGGTAAAATTTAACATGTTTGTCCCATAGTAGAGGGGGAACTATAACACAGCTTAATCATTTTGTCGGCTACCTGTTCAGGTACGAGTGTCTCAAAAATGCTTTGCTCCATTTTTAGCTTCTTTACTGCATATGTCTCAAAGTTCCAGGTAGGACAAATATATGCGGTTATCGTGATGCCTATTTCGAATTTGTAAAATAACTCTATAATGTGGTTCGTGTAACTAACGGTAGATATATAAAGGAGTATTATTTGGAAGGAGATTGTTGACCCTCAACACCGCAGCGTCAAACTAAACACTCTTTTCTCCCTTTCGACCTTTAACCTCTAACGTCTACGAATAGCGAAACTTTTTGCATAGCGTGTCCTATTTTATGGAGCTGAAAACGACTAAAAAATTCGCGGTTCCGTCTCCACTTGCTAAGCTGGAAACTAATTAAAACTTTCGCCTTCTCACAAATACATGACTGGCATGAGATTGATCCATGCACATTTGCATATAAACCGAACTGCTCAATTTCATCAAATAAAAATAAAATTCGTTCCAAATCCCACGGCACATTGTTGGGTCATTTCGTGAAGACTGTGAAATAAGTGATTCTGGTCTGCCCTAGTAGAGCTGGGGGTAGGATTTTACAAAATTATCAGGAGGGGGAGTGTGACAAGGGTGGCAGAAGAAACGCTAACTTGAATTACCGCGTGTTGGAGTGAGAAAAATCATGACCGTTTGCTGTTTTAAAACGAAGTGCAAAAGATATAAATACTGTCTTCTCAGGTAACCGTCACCAATCCAACATCAAACAAACACAGCAAATATTTATCATCAAATTTTATTAACCCTTCTTTTTATTAATCTGCGACGTTTGAATTTGTATTGACTGGGTGTGGCATCAAAATGTTCGCTTTAACTTCATTGTGTAGTCTTGTTCGTCCTGAAATAATTATAAGGATATGTTAGTATTCGAAAGCGCAGCTCAGATGATTGGGAGGTATACCGGCATAAATGGGAGAGAGGTCCGTAGATAAAATATATTATGAATAATCAAAACATATCGTTTATTTTTTTATGTGCAATTTGAAACCCGGCACATGGACGATATGGGTAAATAAAATGATACAACCCTGGCGAGGCTGCTTGGTACATGGCTGTGGGGAGATCCATCAGATGAAACAAGGGAATACTCTGAATTGATTATGAACGCTTACTTGAAAACGTTCACTGATGATAATATCAATGCTTACAGTCTTTAACCAATAATTTTCACTGGATGAAAAAGTTACAGTTGTACCATTCCTGATTTTAGTGACGATTAAAGAGTCTATAAAACTCTTCATCCAGATTGGAGATAGTCTAGATCAGTGGTTCTTAAACTGGGGGGCGCGCCCCCCTAGGGGGGCGCGAGATGCTCACAGGGGGGGCGCAAGAGGTCACAAGATGGAATCGGAAATTGACATGTAACGGCTCCTGAAACGGTCTCCGCGTTCATTAAAAATACCGGCTTTTTCGTGGTATAATAATTTTTTCCGTCTCGTAATAACTAAAAAAATTCAAAATGTCTCTCTATTTTAATTCATTTGTGTTCAAGGAAACTTGCGGTTGCGGCGACTCATGTCAAAATTAAACTCATTACCGATCTAAAATACCACGCCAATCCGCGGACATATCAAGTGTGATCAACTGCCCGATTATATTTCGTTTGATATATATTGCACTGATGCGAATTCGTTGACTTCATTAGAAAAATCTGGTATAATATCCCAGAAATTATACTTAATTTAGTACAATTAAAATACATATTCATCGACTCGAATCCCCGCGGTACGAATCCTGAGTCTGTCCTCGACATTACGCCAGTCCTTATAAGAGCCAACCCAACTTTGTCAACGGATATGTAATGTATATATAATATATATAATATATATAATGTAATAATAATACTCCAAAATACCACGGTAATCCGCAACCATAAAAATGTGTGGCAAAGTGCCCGATTATATTTTGTTTTGATTTGTATTCTTGCCAATGTCACCATTATGAGGTGTCCCTGCAACTCTTACTCCGCTTTATCGCAATGCTCGATTAATTCCTTATTCTACGATAAAATCCCACGGAGTAAAATTTATTTCAAGTCGGTAGTTTTAGAACACTACTGTGTGTGCCGCAGGCACAAGGAATTCATAGATTTGCAATGTCTAAGAAAGTGTTTTAATCTGTCGCGGTCCACCCCAAAACAAAAACTCATGGTGTTTCAGTTTTATTTTTAGTATTTTATAATCTCGCTTTTACAATAAAGAAATATTTGGTTGCAGATTCACTACTTTATTCTATTCTATCTTCGCTGATGATTATATAATAAAACTAACTCGTGTTCCTCAGAGATGTCATGGTTCTATTCGAAAATAAAAAAAAGTAATTATAATCGTCTTCGCGACACAAGAATATGTCGGAGGAAATTTCTGATTTAGGAGAGAAAATCACCAAAATCAATATTTTTACGGCCATAGCGGGCCACTCTTAGAAAACAATCGAGATTTGAACAAAATGCAATCGCAAACCCTTAGCGACTTTATTTTTCAGTGGTCAAGGGCCGAGGAAACGTCCACTTCATAATAACTATTAAAAAATGAACTGCTTTTAAATTTACATAAATTCATTTGTACTTCTCCATTTTGTTTGAAACGTTAGGCAAGCCAAGAAGTCTGTAATTGTTGCTTATTTTTAACACACAGTAAATAATTTTGGCATCGCTCAATAGTGATGAAGTAAACAATTGATTGAAATTTTAAGTTCTTATGTAAATGTTTAAGCAGAAAATACATTAAAGCATAGGTTAATTGCGTGTTTAGTTTTACTTAAAAATTAGTTTGTCTTTACCAGGTATTACAAACTGAGGGGAAATACGAGAATGTATGATGACCAACCATTATTTGGCTTTATACATACGACAGTGAATGGCAAAGTTGTACTCCGAAGCGTTTTATGCCTAAACAATCTGAGCAATGACGATATGAGACCACCACTCTTATAGCGCCATCTTATTAAATTGCTACAACCTGCCCATCACAAAAGCATTTTTTCAAAGCAAAAATAGGGGGGGCGCGAAGTTTGTAAATATTTTCAAAGGGGGGCGCGGCTCAAAAAGTTTAAGAACCACTGGTCTAGATCGAAAATGTGTAACTTTTCGTGTCCAAATCTTTGCCTATATCGGCTACTATAGTTACATATATATGGCTGCATTGGCGACTTGGGTGTATGGATATGAGTCCATCAGTGAACAATTCAGCGTTTTTTCGCAGTATATATAAATATATATATGAAAATCATTATATACGCCATAAAACAAACCTGGTGGGTTCTTATTCTTCGTTTACATCATTCTCTGCTTCAGGTAGCATTTCTGGCATATCCTCCTGTTTGTCCAAGAAGCTGGAGAGTACTTCATCCAGCATATTGTGCAATTCATCTGAAATTCAATTTACCCTTGTTTTCAATGATAAATATTTTATTGGATTTATGATTGTGATTTCCAGACGCAATTTTACACCCCATTGAAATATCTTCATATTTTGACACGGAGTGTACCTATAGATCGTTTTGGTATCATGTTGTTAGAATTATTTTCTTGTTGCCGTTATGAAAAAAATACTTTTGTCTTTAATTACTGAACCAATTGCTTTTAAATTTTCAGAGGATAACGATCGTATTTTTCGCCAGATGGCTATTACTTTTATTTATTCAAAAAATTCTGTTGGCTTCAGAGGTTTCGTTTTTTTTGCGATGACGTCATCAAAATTAAAATTATTGCGGACCTTGCGGAGATTCCCCGTTCGCTTCTGGCTTGTTTTCAAGTGAATTGGGGAAGACTGCGGTACCGGCAGTCTACTGTAAAAGATTGGATACCCGTGCTATTTCGTGTTGACTTTCGTGTCCAAATATTTGGACATTGCACATCCAGGTCAGATGTGCAATATTATGACAATAAAATAATTTTTAGAACCATCTAGTTAATTTGTCAGAGTTTGAAAGTTACGATACTTAGTAATTTTGTAATTAAAAAGGCAAATCACTATAAACTATTGAACCTACCGACAAGAAGAGCTTCATCGCCTCTATATACACGGCGATATCCATGATGATATCTGGGCTTGTAATATCGCGGACGTCTGTGGGGCCTGTAGTATCTATAAAATAGACTTAGAATAATTACTTCTTTAAACTCGGAGTTCCCAGAACGACGCTTCTCTCTCATCCTGAACTCCCACGGTGTCGCCCAAATTCGACGCTCAAAAAATTCGTAATATTCGTTATTTAAAATCAATGTAACTTTTAAACCATTCTATAGTGGGTGGTCTGAAATATCTCATATGGAAGCTTTTCTAGTCTTCTATTCATAACTGGTATCATTTTATACGAGAAATTTGAATAAGATGTGTAAGCTTATTTTTGATCCCATCTACTAATTCTGTGTATTCGAATAAGACTTGACAGTTTATTTATGAATTTTTCGTCTAAATTTGTTACGTGTTGTATAATTTTGGAAAGATACATAGTAATATTCGTGGAATGTGCGAATGTCTTTCCTATTTTACGTAGACATTATTTTATTGCAAAATATTATGTATTCTCGATTCCAACGGTTTATGAACAAAATCGGTGAAAGATTTGGATGCCAAGTTTGCCTTATGACGTTTACGCGACGTCGTTTTGCGTAACGCTTTTCTTGAGATAGATTACGCAATCGCGCATTTTGTCGTTCACAGCGTAACCAACTTGCTGCCATTATTATTCAATTTTCCTGATTGGCCCCGATGTTGTAGAAGGCTGTATTATAGAATATTTCACCTGCTCTCAGTGTCTATAATCAGCATGGTCGCAACCAGCAGGATGAAGATGAGTTTGGCATTCATCTAAAAAGTTGAAGTGATATCGTAGTTTTAATAATATACATAATCATACTTGGAATGTCCAATAAATATCCGAAAAGAAGCAAAATTTATTGTTTTGTCTGATATATGCCCAGTTAGGACCACATTATTTAAAACTATACTCACTTTAAATATTCTTTCAATTCGAAGACAGTCTTCACTTGATGAAAATGGCGATTAATGATTTGGTTGCATACTTTATAGATACCATACTTCCGATGGGACACTACATCGGAAGTGTTATTCAATGCATGATACGATCTGGCCATATTGAACTACTTTTCATAATTTACCTTGGTCACCTATCCATAGCAAATCGCATATCTTCCTCGGTTACGTAAAATTACGGTTATTACATAAAGCAAAAAACGGTCGAAGTCACCACTTGCTGCGCCTGCACGACTATGCATGGCAGAGTTGAAAGCGGGCGTTTTTTTTACCAGGAAACAAGTTATTATTTTGTATAATTTTGTAACGACAACTTTACTAGGACTTCATAATAAAATGATATCATTGTTAATTAATGCAAAGAATGTTATAACACTAATAAGGTTAAGCCAACGGTTCCCAACCTTTTTTATGTAGCGGCACACTATTTGGCCATTTAATGCGACCTATTTAAATATCCGCGGCACACCTATCACAAAAAACGATCATTTCCTACTCTTGAAGCCATTTAGCTATAAAATGATAAAAAACATAGAAGATCAGATGAGGGAAATTCTATTCTTGTTAATACAACATGCCCTGTATCTAAAATGGATGGTTAATAAATACCGATATTATAACTGTTTTCTTACAATAATGACCACGAGACCCACCTTCGTAGCACCTCACATTATAGTAAAAAATGCGCGGCCGCACGGGTAATACGTGACGCTAATACGCTTTGGTTTTTCTCGCCCTTCCCCGTTCCACGTTACGCTTTATTTTTATCGCAGGTATTATCACTCTTGTACAACCTGCTTCATTTTTGTTACAATTCAATATGTTCCTCCCATTGCCAAAAGCATTCAATAGTGCTATTGTCGGCACTTGCAAGAGATATGAAAGAGGCAAACAAACCGTATTTCATTATAATAATCAATTATTATCGCTAAAAACACTGAATAGGTTTAGAGTTGTTATAAACTATTTTCACCGATGGATGAATCTTTTCACGTTATGAATTCCGTGCAAGGCCCGAGCATAATTTGATGGCAAAGATCGTAGCATTTACTATGTCGAAACGCTTATTCGACTTTTCAGACCGCAGAAACTATCCGTAAAATAACCGTTTCTGTGTTCGAGATATTAAATAATCGTCAATTCCACCACGCTTTCGTGAAATAGTGCCATTTTAATGAAGGTTTTATTTTAAGTTTTATTGCATCAGTGCTTATGCTACCACGCATTACACCAGATTACTGGCATGATTACGCAAGGGTGGGCAAAATATAAAATTTTTATCGAATCGAATAATTAGAAAATTTTTAACGAATTGTCGAATATCGGGTATTTTTAACACACATACAACGGACATTCAGAATGCTAGGTATTCTAATGTTGGTGAGCTATTTCCGCCAGTCCTCTCTATTTTTACATGGACTACTTCTTACGCAACGTTTGGTTACATATTCCAGGGAGAACTATGCGTTCATATGGGCGACATATGTTGAAGACGGCTATTGAGTAGTGCATTCGGGATTTTATTCTGGTTTTTATCTTTTACGCCGTTTTGATCATTCTTCCCACCGATTGTAAATTATCTGTCCCAATTTTAAGCTAACAATATTATCATTTCTGACGTCGGAATGCGGATATTTATGAAGACGATAGTTGACCTTCTTATGATTTTATTTTCTTATTGTGTCTGTTTTATTTTCGTATTGAATAGTGAATAAAAACCCTGCAAAGTAATTGCGTAAATCCTGAATGTTATTTTAAGTTTAAATATTAATTCAATAAATCGGCAATAATGACAATTCTACTAGTCAAATAATAATTCCATGGTCAAATTTTGTAAAAATTTCGCACGATAATTCGTTACCTTGTTTGACATTTTCAATTTTACGAAACGGTGTTGGCGCGCATTATGAAAAACTTAGAATTGAAACAATACCCGAATACCTGAAATACGACTTCTCAAATTTGTCGTTTCTGTTTGTTTACACTTTTTTTGTGAAATTCAATGGATTAGAATCACTTGGAATAAATTCAAAAATGAAATCTCTTCGCGGCACACCAAAATCTTTTTGCGGCACGCTAATGTGCCGCGGCACCCTGGTTGGGAACCACTGGGTTAAGTCTATATCGAACTACAACATAAGCTTGATTGAGCATCTTCCATTTCAATCATAATTTATATTGAATTATCAGGTTCAATTTTAGCAACGACTATATTATTTAGCATAAATTCCTAAAATGATGTATCTGGCGCAGTTGGGATCATTATATATGTGACTATTTTCGATATATAATATGTGATATTCTTCAATTTTCATTCCCTCCGTAAAAAAAAAATGGTCTAGTCTAGGTTTTGATAAAAATGCCTCGTGGAATTCGAGCTTCGCCTTTGAAGTCCTATGAGAAATGTCACTATGATGTATCTCTATTTTGAAAAACATATATGATGTGTTATATAGATAGGTATTGTGTAAATATAATAGTTGTGTCCTCTATCCAACTGCCCTATGGCCCCCTCAATTATGAAAAATGTAACATGACGCCATTGAAATTTTTAGACTTGCGTGAAATACAAGATTTTGACATGCAAGCAAGATGCGTATGCGCTAATCACCCAAGTAAATTAGATAGTAGGTTGGGGAACACTTTAGTAATTCAAGGCTTCTATTAAACGGCATTGATATTTTTATGGCGAAACAACATCAAATACGATTTTTGTTTATCCTCCCGCAATAGTGACGCGGGCCACAGATTATGAGGCGACGGGCCACACATGTGGCCAGCGGGCCTGAGTTTGGACCACCCTGGTCTAGTACATAGTTTGGTTCTGAACATCCTAGAAAAACATGACTAGCACGATTCTGTATGTATATTAACGTTTGAAATACAATCAATGGACTCAAACTCTCAGAGATCCTGTTAAATAAGTATTTTTGCAGAGATAGTTGTGCATATTCAAATCTACGAGTTCATAAACAACGTTTCACACTGGGCCATGATTGCCAGAGCTATCGCGTATAAAATGAGCAATCAACTTTTTCTGTTATAATTAATCACGGTTGCTGGAAACTTGTAAACAGCTGTGTGTTTACCGTAAGGAAGTCACTTTCCATGATCGCCATACGACGTGCCTTTACTCTTGATATCTTGTCATTGTTCGCTTCAAATCTAATATACATAGTGATCTCACGAAGTTTACACTTAGCCGAGATTGTTTACAGTAAACACAATATGTTGTTGGTAAGAGTTTAAACATGCGGTGATCATTAGCATTCGGCTGCAATAATTGGACACGTCAGTATACATAACGATCGTTTCAATATTATTTTGTTCTTGTTGGTATTATTATTCTTTGTCACCATAAAATCGCTTTTCTCTTTGAATACTGGACCAATTGTTTGAAATTTTCATGGGTTAAAGATTGATTTTTTTTTGGCAGAAGCCTATTATATTCACTTATTTCAGAAATTTCTGTGGACTTCCAGAGATTCGTTTTTTGTGTGTCAGAATAAAAAAGAGCGACACCTCGTGACGTGTCCATATACTTGAGCGTAGCTCTCTTGTTGTTTATTATCATGCCTTATATGAAGACATTGCAAAGCGATGGGCAGATGGTCATGTTAGCTAATAAAATGAAACATGTCAGTATGTATTTCTATGATCTCGTCGTTCCCATCTCCTTTTCATTCCAATAATATTAAGCGATTTCGTGGTGACTTTGACAGTACTTATGTGGGCGTTCCAGAAGTATGTACACCAAGATGACGCACAACCTGATAACCATAACCTGGTACACATAATATGTTCAGGTTGTGCGCCATCTTGGTGTGCATACTTCGGAAGCACCCTTCTGGGATCTCAGTGATCCATCTGATAATTTGCTTCTAAACATATAGCTTGATGTTATGTGATTGAGTGTTGACTCAACATTTTCTAAAACATTTTTTTTTACCAGGCGACAAGTTATTCAACTTGAAGAACTTTACTACCACCACATGATAATGATATGAGTGTTAATTATCGCAAAGATTGTGATAACACTAAGAAGTTTAGGCCTATATCAAACTACAACAGAAGCTTGATTTAGAATCTTTCAGTTCATATAATAATATGTATATAATAAATTATTAGGTTCAATTTCAGCTACGACTAAACTATTTAACACAAATTCTTAAATGATGTATCGTACCTGCCGCAGTGGGGACCAATATGTGGGTATTCGCGATATATATATAATATTCTAGTCTAGATTTTGCTGAATAATGCTTGGTGGAATTCGAGGTTCGAGGAAATGTCACTATGGTGTATCTCCATTTCGAAGAAGATATATGATTTGCTATATAGGCATTGTGTAAATATATCCATCCAACTGCCCTGTGGCCCCTCGGTTATTAAAAAATGTAATATGACGCCATCAAACAATTTTTAAACTGGCGTAAGTAAAATAAAAGATTTGACATACAGACAAGATGCGTATGTGTCAGTCAAACAAGTAGATCAGATAGTAAGTAGGGGAACACTTTAGTAATTCAAGGCTTTTATTAATTAATTGTCATGACACCGGAAAACCCTACGTCATAATACTCCTTTTAGAGATGGGGTGGGCCTACCTATTCATAAATACAACATTACTGATAGATGAAAAGAGTGTATGATGAAAAAGATTGGAAATACAGAAATTGGAATAGTTATTAGATTGGCTGTTGCTTAGATAAATAAGTAAGGTTGTATATCGACGTTTTGGTATATTTTTCAAAAATTAAGGGCATTATTACGGCAAAACTGTTACTGTTTCATTAAATGGACTCGAAGTGGACCTATAGATCGTTGTGTCATTTTGTATCTTTATTCTCGTTGTTGAAAAAAAATCGCTTTTCTCGCTACTGAACCAATTGCTTTGAAGTTTCAGCGGTTAAAGATTGTATTTTTATATAGAGGGCTGTTATTTTCATTTATTCCAAAATTTTCTGTGTTTTCTTAGGGATTTCTCTTTTTGTGTGTATTAAAAATTGCGGTTCCGTTTTCGAGATCTGGTGGTCAGGCTGCGGTACCGGTAATCTATTGTGGCAGATTGCATGATCGTACTACTTCCTTTTGGCTTTTGTATCCATATAATTGAGCATCGCTATCTTGTTTGAATTGTCATATTTTCTTTTTAAGATTAATGGAGCAGAGTTTTTCAAATTTAGACAAAATTATTTATTCGACGGTATTTAATTTTTCAACTTTTTGAATGGTAAATATTTGGGACAAAAATGATTGAAAAATATGATTCATAAAATTTGAAACCGGTTATATTCTAGATAATTCTAATCTAATATTTCAGAATTGGATGTCGAGTCTCCGCAGGCTTGAGGCCACCGGTCTTTAGCCTAACCTGTCTGATGGTGTAACTGGAACTGTATATATGTATAATCAATGATAAGAATTGGTATGATATCATCAAATTAAAAATTTTATTGATTTTGATTTCGAGTTTCGTTTTCAATCCTTCAGAAGGGCTTGGGAAGCGGCCCTGAATATATGCCATTTGGTGAACACTATAGTATCAATGAGATCTTTGGTCCATGTCACCTTTCTTTTGAGATTTAATGGGCTCTGTTTCTGAGTTAAGTTATTAATTTTACTGAATATATACAGACTACGGAATAAGATTATCACATGTCAATAATATTACTGTGTGCCACGAACATTGTTACGAACAACGCTCTGTGTCATCAGTCAGCAGCTATATGACTGAAAGCGTCGAATCTCGACAATAGCGCGGCTTTGTGTTGTCACATAGGTCACCATATAGCGACCTCAAGAGATTTTACAGTTATTTAATTAATAATTGAGAGCGCCGTCAAAGAGATTCTGGGTGCACCTCTGGAGGTGGGGGTCATGTGTTATGAGTCTTTGAAGTGAGGGGCTGATCATCATCTTACATTCAAACACACAAACAAATACACGTCATAACTATGACCAAATTTATTTCATCTGATTCCGTAGGCCTACATAAATTTTAGAGTTACACTTTTTGAAGATTATACGTTTAGTAAATAATAAAAGGCATTGTCGTGGTCTTTAGTAGAAAGTCATGTCCGTCCTGAAAAATGGAATGTAAAAGTGTGAGAATTGTTTATAATGATGCAACAGTGTGAGGCGGTCACAACTAAGTAAAGTGAATCTAATATCTAAGTTGTTAGCACTAACCATAAATAATAGTAGAAAGTTCTCTATGGAACAAAACATTTAATCCAACTTCACCACAACATTCTATATTTAAACATTTCTCTACCAATGAAATATTTATTCAAACTTACAACATTGTCAGGGTGTGGTCTGGTACAAAATTATTTCGAGACGTCCTCCTGCTCTATAGCAGAATTGTCTTCTTGCGTTTGGGGAAAGCTAGAAATCAAATCATCCAGCATCTGGTGCATGTTTTCTGTGTAGGTCAAATGAAATTAGAGCAAAAGATTGACGTAGCAACTTTGAGTAAGCCCGTTGTAAAACCGACCCACGAAGGAATTATACAATTAGATGATGTTCTGTCAATAAGCATGCACCGAAAGGAAGGGCAATGCGAACTTGTGATATTATCAATGTTCTGGTTTATATAGAACAGGGGGAAAAGTTTATTTAAAGCAAAATACTGTTCAACCGACTATTTTCTTTTTCTTTTCACTAGTTCGCTTAATAGACGTTTTCATATCTTGGGTTATACAATTGTTTGAAAACGGAAAGTAAGTAGCACAGAGTAACGTGCGATTTCTGATAATTTCAACTTACCAACAATTTCCGCATCTCCGAAATAATATTTACGTACGTGTCCATAATATCCACGTCTGCGTCCATAATATCCACGTCTCCTAAAAATTAATATAGTAATACACATAAAGTTATTGGACACGTCAGTGTACATACCCGATCGTTTCAATATTATGATCTTATTCATGTTAGTATTATTATTTTTTTCTTTCGTCATGATGAAATCGCTTTTTTCTTCGAATATGGACCAATTGCTTTGAAATTTTCAGTGGCTAAAAATTGATTTTTTGACAGAAGGCTATTACTTTTACTTATTTCAAAAATTTCTGTGGACTTCAAGAGATTCGTTTTTTATGTGTCAGAATAAAAAAATAGCGACACCTTGTGACGTGTCCATATATTTGAGCACAGCTCTCTTGTATGCTATGAGTTTGGTGTTGAAGAACATTATCATGAAAATATTACTACGTAGACAATATAGTAGACTTTTTACCAAAAATACCGGCACTCTACAAATTGGCTCACAACAATGAGCATTCCGTAATAATATATACATGAAAAAGATTCGTAAAAAAACGGCCACTGTACTTGTAACTGCAGTCGCTGCCCACAACCAGCATTGCTGCAACTAACAAGACGAATACAACTTTGGCGTTCATCTGAAACGAGTATGGTTATAAAAATTATTAGATGAAGCCTAGTTGCAACCTTAAACTGTAAATCACACACATAAAATAGTAATGATTTTTCAATTGCTATAAAACAAGATTCACAAATACTTACTTTTGATATTTTTTCAACTTGAAGGTGAACTTCACTTGAGAATGACAAGCATTTCGTCGGATCCAGTTTTTATAGAAAAATCGTGCTTCCGAGTGACAACAGATCCGTTCCAATATCCAAGTTAGAAATTGTTTTCAAAACACGATACAAAGTTTAGTAAACACAAAAGTATCAACTACGTAGTTTTTGTCTGGCCAATCCCAGAGCAGCAGTGCCTTCTCGCCACTTAAAAATAATAATAATGTATTTGTAAAGTAATATATTTATTCTACCTATTCTTTGTAAAATATGCAGTTGATCATCTAAAACTGATCGTAATCTCCCGTATTTTCAGAGTCGTATTTATTTCTGAACTGCAATACATATACCATTACAGTACTTAAGAAGACCTTAATTTTTAGTGATATCCATTTATTATATTCATTGTCTTTACATTTGCAACGTAACCAATTTTGCTCAGTTAAATATAGTTTTGTCGAAATTTAAGTTTGAAATAAACGATAGTGCATTAAATCATAATATTCATGTGTATAAATACAATTGAATATTGATGCTATGACTCAATGGTTAAATAGTAATAGTTAATGAAAAATCAATATGCGTTAGTTGATAAGTTAGTGCGAACTGAACAAGTTCCAAATGATCAATTAAAGTTTTAGTGAGATTTAAAACAGAAGAAATATACTAAACTTTTTGAATAAGAATCTTCACGCCAATGAAAATGAAATATACCAATGTCATTTTACTGGCTGGAGAATTATGTCGCAGTTCCTCACCTGCGTTGTGTGAAGCTGAGTCGATTATACATTTTGCAGTTCGAAAGGTTTGCTAAATAATTTTGCATTATAGGCAGGGCTGCCATCGATATGAACCCCAAAATACGGACATCAGGGAAACATAATAAGATAACAAAGAACTAAATGTAGTAAACAAAATGTATTCATGCCAGTGCGACCTGTGTCTAATCATACTTTGCACTAGAAAGGATTTGAGCCAGCAGTTCTTTATTGGACACGTTTAGTGGACATAACGATCGTTTTGTTGTTCTTGTTGTTCTTGGTGTTCTTGTTGTTCTTCGACACATTTTGGACACCTAGTGGAATTATTGAAAAACCGCTTTTCTCTTTGATTACTGGACCAATTGCTTTGAAATTTTTAGTGGTTGAAGATGAAATTTTTCTTCAGAATGCTTTTACTTTTATTTATTTCAAATATTTCTGTTAGCTCGGTGAGATTTGTTTTTGTTTGCTATGACGTGTGAATATATTTGTAGACTGTGATCTGACGGTACGGTAAACCGTACTGTACTGCGAACAGACGTGTCCATATATTTGGGCGTAGCTCTCTTGTTCTTAGAAACAATCTGTTCCATCTCACTTTTAAGTTGTTTTTTGATTCAATTTACATGGACTGATTTTGGCCGGTAGACTATTATTGTGACATTATGTCATTCAATTTGCTGGTGTTACGTAATGAATGCGCGTAGCAATCAATGAGGTTGTCATTTCTAACAAATCAATTATTCGAATTGATCAATCTAAGTGCCTGGTATAAGAACCTCTACTCATAAAATAAGGACAAAAATAAGGACAAATCTTAGAAATAAGGTCGTTATGGCAGCCCTGATTTTATGTATGCTCACAGTGACGAAAATAGTTGTTTTTGTTCCTAATTCAAAATAACTTTGAGCTTCAAAATGAAAGAAGAACCAAATAGAGCGACCGATCGATGCGAGATATAAAGCAGTTCATGTCATACGATCAGGAAAACAGCTACGAAGTAGACCCTAACCCTAACGTGTGAGCGCTTATAGACAACCGAGTTCTGGCGACTGAAATATTTTCGAGAGAATAACCCCGACGGTAGAATGAAGATTTTTGGATGCTCATAAATATATTTTTCATCGCGCTGCCTTATTTTTTTATTTCCTTGGTGAGGGTCTCAAGATTTATGCTTAAATTTTTAACGATCTGGTAATTTATAAGAAATTTTATCATTGAGCGTCAGGCATTCTGATCGTAGCGTATGACGTCATCGAAGACTTTATCATTTTTTTAAATGAATACGGAATGCACTACTATACACACTGAATTGCTACTCAGATATATATTCGTGTTTCAATGAATCAAAAGTAGCCATTTTGATAATGTTTTAATTTTAAACTGATCAGCAAAAGAAGGAAAATGGGCATTCAAATAAGTCACATATCACATATACACGTACATCCATATAAGCAGCGTGACTGGTTTGTTTGTCGATGAAGCTTCGAAATGTGCTAAAATGTCTAGCACATAGTTTGCTTCTGAAAATCATAGAAAAACATGCCTAGCACGATGCTGTATGTATATTAAGACGTTTGAAATACAATCAATGGACTCAAACTATCAGAGATCCTGTAAAATAAGATATTTTGCAGAGATAGTTGCGCATATCCAAATCTACGAGTTCATAAACAAAAAATTAAATTAATCACGGTTGCTGGCAACTTGTAAACAGCTATGTGTTTACCGTAAAGAAGTCACTTTCCATGGTCGCCATACGACGTGCCTTTACTCATGATATCTTGTCATTGTTCGCTTCAAATCGAATATACATAGTGATTTCACGAAGTTTACACTTAGCAGAGATTGTTGACAGTAAACACAATATGTTCGTTGGTAAGAGTTTAAACGTGCGGTAAACCCCCTTAGCACTCGGCTGCATTAATTGATTATTATCACGCCATATATGAAGACATTGCAAAGCGATTGGCCGATGGCATGCATATGCGAATGCTACTTTAGCCGATAGAATGAAACATGTCAGTGTGTATTTCTATGATCTGGTTGTTTCCGTCTCCGTTCCTTCCAATAATATTAGGCGATTTCGTTGTGACTTTGACAGTATTTCTGTGGGCGCCTCCAGAAGTATGTGCACCAATATGACGCACAACCTGATAACCATAACCTGGTACACATTACTAGGGTTAAGGTTGTGGCCATCTTGGGTGCGCATACCTCGGAGCACAATTCTAGGGATCTCAATGATCTATTCTATCTGACAATTTGCCTTTCTAATATATAGCTTGGCGTTATGTGATTGAGTGTTGACTCAAACATTTTCAAAAACTATTCTAACAGCACTCGTTCCAATACTGGTAGAGAACTCCTCAATCATTTAAGTTGAAGAAATTTTGCAACTAATGTAGTTGGGCTCATATCGTGTTTATTGAACACGTAGTGGGACATAACGATCGTTTCAATATTATGTTGTTCTTGTTGTTTGACACAGAATAACACAACCTAGTGGGAAATATTAAAATACCACTTTTTCTCTCGAATACTGGACCTATTGCTTTGAAATTTTCAGTGGTTGAAGATAAAATTTTTCCCCAGAAGACTATACTTTTATTCATTTTAAATATTTCTGTTAGCTCTGTGAGATTGTTTTGTTTGCTATGACGTCATTAAAACGTTCTACGCGTCATCGGACGCCATTTTGTGTCCTACTGTACTGCTTCGCTTGGTGTGAATATATTTGTAGACTGTGATCTGACGGTACGGTAAACCGTACTGTACTGCGAACAGACGTGTCCATATATTTGGTCGTAGCTCTCTTGTGTTGTTATTGTTATTATTTGTCTCCATCATTTTTGAAAAATTGCTTTTCTCTTTGAATACTGGACCAATTGCTTTAGAATTCAGTGAGTAAAGATTGATTTTTTTGCCAGAAGGCTATTACTTTTATTTATTTCTAAATTTCGCATGAAATCTGATATTTCGTCTAAAATTTCGCTGTATTATTTTATCCATGGGAACACTGGCTGTCCGGTTTAATTCTGTAAATTATTTCTACGCGAAACTCGGAATTTTTTGTGGGTACCGGTGGCGTCAAAGGTAAATACTGCTTCGCTCTGGTTAACGTGTCCATATATTTGAGCACAGCTCTCTTGTTCCTATACAAAGAGTGTTACTCATTTCTATCATGGGTGGTCAAGATGACAAACATGAGGATCGAAACGGAAATATTCACTAACTAGAGCTGACATGGGCAAACTACGGTCCGTGGGCCAAATCCGGACCGTTGAGTAGTTCAATCTGGACCGCCTGATGCTGCCACAACCCAACTAAAACCTAATTTTGATGTTTGAGCTGAAAAATTGCTCAAGGAATTGGTTGAGATTGCGATTAAATTTAGTTTTGGCACGAGGTTCGTTGCATTTACTTTGGTAACACTGTGAATATTGTTCATAAAATGTAACTTTTTACGTCACACTTACATGGCCTGCCAGTCCAAGTGGCAACATTTTTGGCCACTGGTCCAAAAACCTTGCCCACCCCTGAACTAGAGTATTAGTTGAGTAATATTATACTCTATATATTGGATAAGATTTCATAGTTATCTTATGTGAGAGAAAGGTGATGAGATGGCCATGGTGCTGAATACTGTCGTTTTAAGTTGGCGAACAACTACTTTTCAAATGGAAGTGGTTAATCAATGCATCAATTCTCTCGGGCTATTATATTTCAAACGATTGTCTTTACTGGTGCAGTATATTCCACTACTTCTATAAATTGGAAAAGGACAGAAAATTCGAACTCCCATTAAGTACAGATACAATTCAATGCATCACGCTATGGTAGCCATGAATTGGAACGTTTTTTTTTCAGATCTCAGCTACATGCCACTAATTACTGGTTGGTAGTGATATGCTACGTTTCATTTATAAACTTATCCTATACCCCGAGACACGATTTTAAGATATTGGTCGCAATTTTACCTGGACTTTTTTACAATAATAATTTTTAATAATTAATAATTACATTTTTTCAATAATAAACACTTGACAGAAAAGGATAAAATATAATAGCTTGTTTTTGTTTATCACAAGAGAGGAAGATGAGAATATCGTGATGTTGCAAGTATTTACTGTTGCGATATGACTAATTTCCCGTTAAATTAATACAATGGTATATTCCTCATCAAATTCATCACAAAAGCTTCACTGTATACAGTAAACAAGTTGCATCATCCTCATTAAAGAAGTGATTACCGCGAGCGCTAGGAAAGCAAAAGCGCAAAATTAATAATCATACCGTCAAAAAAAAAAAAAAAATTGACGGAGTGCCACAAT